CTTTATTTCTACAGGTTAGTCTCATTGAGCCTCGAGGACTCGTTTGCAAGAGAGACCTGATTTTAACAAAGAACACAGACGAGGTACAGACAACAATAAACAATCTTCTAAAAACCAATAAAATGAAAATTAAATTGAAGAAATTAAATAAAAACAAAATAAAAGCAGCTACATTATAAACTCAGTAAATCTCTGGCAGCAGCAGAATATTCCAGAATAAACTTTTTATTCTTTGTTCCTGTAACTTTTCTCTTTTTTCTCTGTGAAACAAACAGAACCAAAGTTTAGGTTCTGGTCCAAGTGTTTGGTTCTGGTCATGAAGAACCAGATCTTCTGTTCTGTAAACTGATGAGTCTGTCTCTTGTCTTCGCAGGACCTGGACCAGGACGAATTCCTGCAGGCCTCGAGCCACAAGAATCTGGAGAAGAAACCAGGTTGCAGGAAGAGGCTTTGGATTGGACTTGGACTGCTGCTGTCAGCCGGCGCCATGTCTCTGCTGACCGGACTTCTGGTGTGGCACTTCCACCGTGAGCTGACCCAGAATTATCCATGTGGGCCGGGTTTGGGTACAAGTCAGAGGACAGGACTCAGACCTGGACTCGGGTTCTGACTCGGGTTCTGACCCAGGTTCTGATCTAGGTTCTGACTCAGGTGGTTGTAATAGCAGAACGTTCCTCAGCTGATCTGAACCTGTTTCTGTGGTTCTGGTTGAACTGGTTCTGCTGCTGCGGAACATTGTTTACTGCCTGTTCTGCAGGGAACCGGTTCTGGAACCCACTCAATGCCGCTTGTGTTGGTTGATGTGAATTTCAGCATGTTTTTCATCCCACCTCAGTTTCATGGCTGTGGTGTTCAGAGGTCACTGAAGGTCACTGAAGGTCTCTGGTGTTCAGAGGTCACTGAAGGTCACTGCAGGTCGCTGGAATAATCCAAACTTTCTGTAGAAGAGGAGTAAACAGATCCAGATCCAGATTATGTTGCTGACAAAACACTGAGCTCAGATCCTGGAAGTCAACAATAGTTCAGATGTGTGACCTCTGACCTCTGAGAGGAACCATCAGTCCAAGAGACACTCTGGGGGATGGAGACAGAAAGACAAGACAGGAGGAGACGAGTTTGATCATTTTGTGATCAAATCAGTAAATCCTCCACGTTCAGCTGTGATTGAGGAAAAAGAGCTGAAAACAGCTGCTCAACATCCTGTGTGACTTGTTTAAACATGGTGGATGGATGGTGGTTGGACAGTGGTTGGATGATGGTTGGACGGTGGTTGGATGATGGTTGGATGGTGGTTGGATGATGGTTGTATGTGGTTGTATGGTGGTTGAATGATGTTGGATAATGTTGTATGGTGGTTGGACAGTTGTTGGACAGTGGTTGGATGGTCATTGGACAATGTTGTATGGTGGTTGGATGATGGTTGGACAGTGGTTGGATGGTCATTGGACAATGTTGGATGGTGGTTGGATGATGGTTGGACAGTGGTTGGATGATGCTGGATGG